TATAAAACTCCAACAAATATGGCCTGAATTTTATTTTTTCTTCAAATAGAAAAAAAATACTGTAGTCATCTACAATATATATAGAATAATGATAATGATAATCATAACATCAAATATCATTCAATAGCAGTATCTAAAATGTTTATGAGGTTCATCATAATATGCCGGTTACACATAGCATATATATGTGTAGAATAATTTTTTTTCATTTTTTTCAATCCATCCAATCCTATTATTATTATATGGGTCGTCATCTTCTTTTTACCTTCCATCATCATCATGATCGATTTGGTTTTCAATCTTTTTTTAAAAAAATCCTCAAAGAAAAATAAAAAGCAAGAGACAAAAAAAAAAATAATAATAATAAAATATCGGGCGTCATTCCTTAAAAATGGGGTAATTTTCATTCTCAAATATCGGAAAAAAATCAACTAAAAATTCGTAATTCTTTTGTGTATACAAAAGAAGTTCTTAGCTAGATAGAGCTAGGGTGAAAGCTGTTTTGATTGTTCTCATCATTGTAAAATTACATCAAACCGATCGACCACAACAACAACAACAACAACAACAACAACGACAACAGGCACCATATAAAATACAAAGCCAATATATACGATCTCGACCGAAATAAATAGAAAAAAAACAACGAATTTCACCCGACCAACAACAACAACAATAATAAAAAATGATCCGGGTATTTTATGGTGCCAGCCCATATATCTCATAAATGAATTCAATTGCCGGTTGATTGTTGAATTTGTTCGATTGGAACGATTTGAAACCTGTTTTTTCTTACGTACAACTGTTCGTTTTAAATGTGATATTTGTTTGGTTTCATATATGAAACGGGAAAGAAAATTTTCATCAATGGCAATAATGATGATGATGATTATTATCGTCAAGCCATTCGAGAGCTGCCATCTATGTACATCAATTAATGATCACATTATGATTATCGACACATATCTTACCATCGAATACAACCACAAGAATTTTTCATAACAATCAGAAATCATTAGAATCATGGCTTTTTGGATCAATTAATGTTTGTGAGAAATATAAAAAAAAATTCAACATTAATCAAAATCCTTTTTAAATTGATGGGAGAAGTTATTATTAATGATCTTTATTGATTTTTCTTTTAAAACTTTGAATATTTTATATTTTTGATTGTTTTTTTTTCACAATTCCCATATTCTACCACATTTTTAATTTATAATTTTGTCTATAGCAATAATAGCAATGTAATCGGCTTTATTTGAATGAATGTATACAAAACTATAGTCATGTGTATGAACAAACCATCCTCATCAAACCATAATCAAGTATAAATAAAAAACAAATCATATGTAGTTTTTTTTGGAAACATAATTATCGGCAAAGCAAAAAAAAATGAAAATGAAAAAAATATCGCCTCTCGTCATTCATACTCTTTCCTTCATCAATATGGATGATGATATTAATTTTTGTCAAATTATATTAGTTTGGTTTGTAATACTATTATTATTATGATGATATGATGGTATGGTTTGATTTTTTTTTTTTTTGGCGATCCATCCACATATCTATCTGCCATGCGGAATTTGATTTCAAGTGTAGGAATAGTCATCATAATGGATTGCTATATTATAATATCCTAGCTTTTTTTTGCTTGTTTTTGTTTGCATGAAATTCTCGTTTTCATTATCAAAGCTTTGTATAATCTAGTTTTTTCGGTTGTTTATTGTGCATTGATATCATGGTCGTAGTTGTCTTGTTTTGTTGTTTAGTAAAGATGATAGAGTTGAGCATAAAGGGAATCGCAAAGAATTTTTTTTCTTTTTATTAAAAAAAAAAAAAAAATATATGGTAGTCCACTATAGCTGTTGTTTTGTGGTAGTTTCTAATGAAATTTTTTTTTTGTTTTGTTTTTTTTCGATCGAATGCGCTGAAAATGTGTCTGTGCGTATTCAAGTCTAGTATATGACAATCAAATTCTGAAAGTGAATTTCATGAAGATAATAATAATGACGTTCCAGATACAATAAAATTATGTCTTTTACCTTTGGTAATTTCTCTCTCTCCCATGAGGAATCGATGTTTGATTGATCCAGGGAAGGATTGATAGTTTGGATAATTAAGCCGAATAAAAACAACTCTAAATTAAAATGAACTTGATGATGATGGCGCCATTTGCCAGTTCAATGCCAATGAAAATGATTATAATTTGAATTGCCAGAACACAATCTATATTTATACAGAATTTTAGTTTTTTTTCATTGGTATTAATTATATTCTATATATTGATTGACTAGAAATTCATCAGATTTCAGTTTCCATTATTATTTGATTTATTTTAATGAAAATATGTTTTTATTTCATAGTTGCTTTGTGGTTTTGTACTTTTTTTTTTATTCATTAATAAAATTGTATTCGATTCTATTGAGAATCCTGGCATTGTTTATTGTTTTGTTTTTTTCTTATGACACCATACTTTTTTTCATCATTGATCACAATTTCTTTGAGAATAGTGGTACCATCAACTACTAAAAAACAAATGTTGGTCCATATGTGTGTGTGTGTGTCCCGATTTTTCCCTCTGGTTTATAGAAAACACATTCAAATGCAATTCCATTGCATTTGAAATCATCATCATTTTCCATATTGAGTGCAATACGGCAATCACGTATCCAACTTGTTTTATTTTATTATTATTTTGCATATACATTCTTGTATTATTATACTCATCATCATGAACATGATGATGGCGGTAACGGCAATTGGATAAAAGAAAAAAAAATGAGAATAACATTCCATAAGGTTTGGAAGCGCCACAATACGGCAATTTATCGGTGAATCATATATGTGTTTGGTATGGTATTCATCGTATTCATTTGTCTTGATGGATCTCAATATACCGTTACACACACACACACACACACACATACACATACAAACATGCATAGATGATATGATCTTCATCGTAATCGGGCTACATTTTCTGGATTGGATATACCAAATTTTTACATACATAGTATTAGTGTTAGACACACAATATTGATGATCCAGAGCTTATGTATGTCATATTACAAAACAAGACCTACTTTTGGTAATGGACGACGTCATCCAATACCTATTGTCCTGAATAAACCAAAATAAATTTGGAATTTTTTTTTTTTTTTTTTTGGTTGAATTAGGCGCGTCGACCATATCTTTTATTTTTTTTTCTAGGTTTAATAGTGAAACTAGTTGTTGTTGTAGTAGTAGTAGTAGTTTCATTTGGTTAGTTTATTATTATTATTATTATTATTTTTTTTGTTGCTGTCATACAAATTCAATTCACTTATTGTCATTTTTGTCGAATTTATTCTTATACTAAAACCATATATAACAGTAGAAACTCTTTTTCATAATCATTTTTTATATTCAATGAATATTAATAAGAATCAAAATGATTTGCAAGTATTATCATTATATAAAAAAAAGACTCGTTTATTTAGAAGTTCTTTTTTTTCTTTTTGAAAATATGAAAATGAAATGATTGAAATTAACCGCGTGCCTTATATGAATGCGAAAATGATTCATATTCATATGTAACATTACAAGAAACATTTTTTTTTTTTTTTTTTTTTGAAATTTTTGATTTATTCTTATTTCAATTTTTTTTATGATCATATATATAAAAAAATTTGTGAACAATATGGACATTTTTTATGCCTTAAAGGTATCATTATCTCAATGTTGACAATGATGATTTATTTGAAAAAATAAAAGGTAAATGAATTCTGATACTTGATGATAAGTAATCATCATCATCATAAAGACATTATTCCAATTTTTTCTGAATCTTAAATCATCAAATTTGTTCATCATGCAATTAGAATTTGTAGGTATGAATGGATGGTTGGATGGATGGATAGATAGATACTTACCCTCTGGCCAGCCAATTATTCTTTTTTTTTTGGCTGTTCTTTGCGCTTGTTCAATGTATGTATTTTTGTATTAAAAAATGATTCTTAGTGATACTTACTGTTGAATATATACAATTCTTAACGCGGTTATCATAATAATGATGATGGCGCCAAGTATTGTCGACTCCCACACAACACACACACACACACATGCATACACAATCGTGTGTTTAATTTGTCGAATTTTGTTTTATATATATAATCAACCCAATACATAATACCACTAGGTATTCTGATATTGTAAAAAGTCTAGAATCATAACAATTTAAGCACCACTGCGACTGTCTTGTCAAAATCCACCATTTATTCTATGTATATTTGAAAATCTGGCATCGAATACTAAACACACATACACACATCAAGACGTTATACTAAACCATTCAATCCAATCTAACCAGTGAAAGAAAAAAAACGGATAAACCAGCCAAACAACCAGTGTTTATGGACGAGAAAAGACCGGCATTCAAATGTGTTTCAACAAAACTCTGACTCATTGATTCAATCAAATGATTGGCCATTTCATCGTTAAAAAATTCGTAAAAATTGACCAATACACTAGATGGTTTGAAACAATGTCAGAATTTATTTGGATTTATTTTTAAAATCTACCTTAGTCACTTTTAACAACAACAACAACAACAACAAAAAGGTGGATCCTTTCCTCATTTTGTTTTCCTTTTGCTGGGAACTTCCTGATGAAAGTTTTTCTTGTTTTTTCTTCTGTTGGCCTGATTTTTTTTTTGTTTTGCATACATAATTGTCACATTTTATGGTGGTACCATTGCGTGTTTGATTTTCGCCTATTAACCGATCAACAATCTACGCTCAAAAAAAAATTTTGTTTTTTTATTCTTTGATTCTTTCAACAAATCAGATTTATTTGAATTGACAACAACAAAAACAGCCACGACATCAAAAATCAAAACGTCGAAGACGCTCCCTTTCTATCTTGTTTGTTTGGCTAATTTTTTTTTTTTTTTTTTTTTTGGTTCCTGGTTTTCATATTTTTATCTTCGCACAACACACATCATCATCTTCGTTGTACTTATTTGTTCTTTCTCTCTCTCTACATACATTTGTCTATGTCATTCATTCATTAATTCATTGCTACAAGCGACTAACCGAATCATCGCCAACAAGAATCAACAACATTCTGATCATCCAACCAAAGAAAAATCATCTGCTGTGGTTTTATTTTTCAAAGCTTAGTAATAAAAAGTGGAAATATTTTGAATGAAACAATTAGCAATTAAAAAAATTAAATTTCCGTATCATCATCTTTATTGTTGCATCTGTCGTCCAGTTTGATTTTAACGAACGAATTTTTTTTCCTAAACAACCTTTTCATTTTTTTTTTTTTTTTGATTCGTTTCAAATCATCGTATATGATACACAGTATTATGTTTGTGTGTATGTTTTGTGTCTGTCTGTTTATGTTTTGTTGATTGCATAATTCTGATGATGTTTTTCCGGCTTTACAAAAGCTAATCATGTGTATGATGGGAATAATGATCTATTTTTTATTATTCAAGTCAATAATTTTCTATGTCCAGTAATGTATGTATTTAGTGTTTGCTTTTATTATTGTTGTTGTTGTTGTTGTGCATGATGTTATTCTTATTATTGTTATCATATCATCACAAACAATTCTGTTTTTTTCCATTATAAAAGTTGTTGATCTTTTTTCCTTTTCTCTGTTCGTGTGTGTGTGTGTGTGTGTTTATTCTGACCAATCATAATCATCAATAACATCATCATGTATATCAATTGAATGGAATTAATTTTTTTTTTTTTTTTGGTATTTTTTTCCTCCTCTGAAATTCATTCATCCATCTAATCAGCCGGTTATTCTTTATTGCTATTCTGGTGTGTATGTGATTATACATCATTTTTTTTCTTGTATTCAATCATCAATCAACAAACAACTTGATATATATCGGTATTATTATTATTATTATTATTAAATTTCCTGAATATTTTGTAAATATCCGATTTTCGTCAATTCAATTTTTTTTCACAATCAATCTTCACAACAACATCAGTAACAATTTTGACATATTTATTTTGTTATTATATATGGCTATTTTTTATTAAATATGAAATTATTTCGATCAAAAAAAGTCGAAAAATTTGTTTCGTAGAAATTTCAATTTGTAGTCAATTTTTTACATCATTTTCACATCTATTATTTCCACACTCTTTCTTTATGTTCCCACTCATAAACTAAAGGTATAAAGATCGATTAAAATTATGGAGAATTTTTTTCATGCCAATCAATAATCAGACAAAATATCTGCCAAACGAGAAAAAAAAAAAATTTAAATTTTTTTTTTTATTTTGGTTATCCGGAACCAGAAAAAATTCACATAGTATATTCTCATTACGGTAGTCATGATCATGATCATGATCATCATTATTATTATTGCTTTTTTCTTCTTGATATTCGATAGATTATTTCATTTTATTTATTCATTTTGAATGATATAGAATCAAAAATTTTTCTGACTATTTTATCATCCTATTGATTTAGAGTGCTTCAGAATAGGCAGGTGTCATTTCTCGCATTTCTGAGGAAATTTTTTTTTATTCTTATTTTCTAGTTTGAAAACATAAAAAACGTGATCCAAATCCTGAATTACATCATTTAGATCGACAGCACGTTCATTTGGATATTTTCTTGTCGCCGTCGTTGTTTTTGTCGCTACTGTTGTTGAGTATTTTAGTAGTCATGGACCACACGGTTTTGTTTTCAATTTTAATTTTTTGTATTTTCTTAAGAATAAGTTTTCAGCTTTCCTTATCTAGCTTGTCCTGTTTTTCGTCTTCGTTCCTTGCAATTTCAATTTTGTCGAAAATTTTTTTTTTTTTTGGTTGGTTCCACCTCACACCCACCATTTTTTATTTATATTTGGATGTACTTTAGATAAATTATTAATGAGATTTTGGGGATCTATAACCTGTCGGTTGTTTTGTTTTGTTTTTTTTACATGTCATTTTCACTTTCCTCCGGGTGCTTATTTGTTTTGGTAAAAAAAACTTTTTTTTTACCATCATCATTATTTTGCATAGTTTTACATAATTACACCATTTTCAGAGATTTCCATTCTATCATTCAAACTGAGGGAGTGAAACAAAAAAAATTGGAATAAAACTAAACGTAATGTAATGATGAATTCAAATACAGTAATTCCAGCAACAACAACAAAAAAACTGCCGACTGCCGACAATAGTGTATAAACTCTATACTCAAACACTATTATATTGCCCTGAATACATTTCAGCATTCAATATTTGTTTGTTTTCGGTCCAAAAAAAAAATTTTTTTTTGTACCGTTCCACTTTGCAATCATTCTTTCAACAAACAACAATGATAAATGTGTGAAAAATAAAGGATTCAGGTGGTTTTTTCTTTTTTTTTTTTATTTTGAATAAAAATTTCATTTTCTTCAAAAACCACACAACCAGAAAGAAGAAAATAAAAATAAAATAAAATGAATAAACGAATTTCTTATTTTGATCGACAGTTTTTTTTATTCATTTATTTATTCAATGAATAAAAATCGAGACAATTTTAATCACCTAACACACGAAAGCGCCTTGTCAATTTCAAAGAATAAAGAACGAAGAACGGAAATTCCATTGTAAAAAAAAAATTATTGTTGATTATGATTCTATCGGTATTACCGTGTGAATGATTGTATGTGTAGCCAACCAAAATTCCAAAACGTGACGCAACCACGCAATTAACGAACGACTTCAAAAAATAGAAAAAACGATTTTATTTTTGGTTCAGTTGGTTTGGTTAGATTTTGCTTGTGATTCATTTTTTTTTTTTCGTTTGTTTGTTTGTCACCATCATTGTTGACGATGATGATGATGATGACGATGTGATGTGATGCATCAAAAATTCTATTCTAGTTCTTTTCATTTTATTGTAGTGAAAGAAAAATGATGTAATAATAATACGATTGGTTGGGCGGAGATTCTTGTATATGGCCATAATTATTTTGGAAAATTGTTGAAATCTTCATTTGTTTTTTTTTCTGTGATTTACATTTGGACATTTGATAAAGATAATTCAACATTGATTTTTTTTTTACTTTCACTATTGTCTTGCTTTTCATCATTTTTTTTAAAGAAAAACTATAATTTCCTATCACACACATATATAATGATATACAATACAACCAAATTATAAGATAGATTTATCAGATAAATTAAATATTAGTCAATCGAAAACTCAATTAGTATTTAAAAAAAACAATTCAAGTGTGAATCAATTCTTTTGAATATATGATGATGATGATAATAATAATAATACCATTGAAATTGTCTGAGGGTTTCAGTTTTTTTTCCTGATATTCACATGATGATTGTATTCATTTTGACAAACAAAAATAGAAAACAAAAATACAAATACAATACAATGAAATTAGAGTTGACTTGATGATCACCACATCATCATCATCATCATATCCAGTAGTTTAGTTAGCTATAGTTTTTCAATGACTAAAAAGTAGAAGAAAATAAAATCGAAAAAAGAAATTATTTATGTTTAGGTTATACTTAAATTGCCATTGCCAGTGAAAAAAATGGAAAAAAAACACTGCTACCATTTTTTATTATTCTTTGGATCATATAACTGCTTATCTACTTTGTTATCAATATAGTAAGGTATAATAATACAAAGTTGAATTCTACTCAATATATATACTTTTATTTAGAAATTCAACAAAAAAAAAAATATAATTCCATAGTTGATTCGGATGGTGTACGCCTTTCTTCATGCATAGAATTTGATGGTTTTTTTTCGCGATCATCTATAGTTTAGTTGACTTCTTTGGTTCAAGAGCTTTGAAGATAGTAAGATAGTGAATGAAAAAAAAAATGTTGTCCGGAATATAGATAAACTAACTGTAGTCTATTTCTTAGGTCCTTAGGCCTTTTTTTTCTCTTCATATGATTTTAACATTACGAATATTTTTGATCGTTATTATTATTATTATGGTTGTTGTTGTTGCTTTTAAAATTGTAGATTTGAATACTGCACATACATGCACACACACACACAAAAAAAGAATCATCGTTAACTTTACAACAATATTTTTACTTAACTTTTACAGAAACTGATTATTAAGGTTTTTTTTGAAACTGAATTTATTTTCATGGAATATTCCTGCTTTTTTTGGCTTTTGGTTGTAAACACGGAAACTGATGGAAAACTGAATTTATTTTATAATAATAGTTAAGTTAAGCTCAAGTTTTCAAATGCATTTGAATATTCTGTGAAAAAAAAATTGTTTGTTTTTGTCCTAAAATCTTCAAATCTTCATTTCAACGGATGTAAAAAAAATTGAACTCAAATTGATGGTCTATTGAAATGAACAAAGAAAAAAAATAAAATTAAATCAAATTCATTTGTCAATGAAACAAAAAAAAAATTTCCATCACACCACAATATGAATACGCGAATTTCAAATACAACGATTGCAGAATTCAGAATCTATTTTTTACATGCAGGATGATGATGACGAAGGCTTTGGCTTCTTTCTTTCTTTTTGATGATATTTCATTCCTATGATTGGCTTTCAAATTAGATGACGATGATGATGATGATGATGATGACATAAGCCTCTATACGTTGAATGTTTGTTTGTTTATTTTTCACTTTCAATTTTTTTCCTTTTCTTGATTTGAAAAAATATATGCAAAAAAAATTTTGAATTATTTTTGTTACTTTATTTTCAAAAATAAATTTCGATAAATCACAATGTAAGCTGTTTTTTTTTTGCTTTTTTCCATATTAAAATCAACGTATTTGAACGGAATCAGTGCGTTTTTACGTGACGACAGCGGAAAAAAAATCCTAAATGTTATGAAATCATAGATTTATTTTATGATAATTATAGAAATATATACTAAGTTCAATGTAAATTTGTGAAATCGACATAAGAATATTCTTGCTCATCCTTTCTTTCTAGCTTTATATAACATAAATAATATTTATTATATAAATTTATCATGGTTATTCCTTAATTTTTTTTCTCGTCATTTTTCAAAATAAAAACTGAAGGTTAAAGATGTGATAGGGGAAAGCACAATTCTATTGGCTATCCTAATCACATTCATTTGGCTCTCATTCCATATGTGGCCATATATAGATTCTTTATATCTGTGTGTGTGTGTGTGTGTGTGTGTGTGTGCGTGTGTGTGGTTGATAGTTTGTTTCACTTAATGAATTATTAAATAGAAAATCTTGATTTTTTCGTTTGAACACTATTATCATCAGCAGCACCGCAACTATAGTCAAGTTGGCAACAGAATAAATTCACGATACATATCTCAATATATATATTAAATGAATCAAGTGTATAAATATTTGTATATATATATTAAAATTTATATCTATCAATAATAAATTGCCTACATTTTTTTTGTTTCAAACTTATTTCTTTTAATGAAACCTAGAAAAAAAGAATTTGATTTTTTCTTGGCCCCGGATTTTTTTTTCTGTTCTGTCTTGTCACATGTTCAAGTGTTTTTTTTTATATATTTTG